TGAAAAGAAATCAATATGATGAGAGAGAGAAAAGAAATGGAAATCTCCCCAAAGGAGATTATTTTTTTCCTATTTGGTTTTGTTGATTTCTCCCCCAGAAGTTTTATTCTGATGCAGTTACACATTTAGAATCAGCTAAGAGATTTTCTACATGAGAACAATTGGACTAGTCCAGTTAAAAGACAATCATATTTTTAAACTATAGATTTTTGAAAGATGATTGTAATATTCAGTCATCTCATACAGACTTTAAAAAAATAATGGGATAAGTCTAGAAGTTCCTTAGCAGAACAAGAAGCATGAATTGAGGATTTCATTACCTTTTAATTTAATATTTAGTGATATTAACTATAGTAGAATGCTTTTAAATAGTGATTATGTTTTTTAGCTCCAGTTGATTCATATTTTTAAAATAAAATTATGGTAATTAAAGAAGCAGAAGCTAATATTTTGTCAGGTTTACCCCATATGCAGATCAATCCATGGTGTACAGGACAGTCATTGAAAGTTGCTGATCTGCTTAATGATGGAGAACTGTTAAGGCACATCTTGTTCTTTGCCAGTTACACTGCAAGTTTGTCTCTTGGATACTGGGTACCTGTCACACTGGGTGATGTCTGTTTTAAGTGGAAATGTTAGGACTGTTCTGAGCTTTGGGAATTATGAAGGAAAAGGTGTACATGTCAGAAAAATGTAAAATAGAATTCTTTATGCTTGTGGGTGTTAGACCTGTTCTTAAAGTGGTCAGAGTATGTATGAGAGGTAAGTTAAACACATTCTTTCTTGAACTAAGTGTACCTGGATTGTGTTTTCTATATTCTTTATTCTGTATGTTGGTTAAAGGGGCTTTTTTCTTTTGTGTCACTTTTGGGTGGTTTCCATTTCATGATCCAGATATGTTTTTTCCTCTAGAGAAGCTAGTCTGCCTAGCTTAAATCACTGTGGTGAGGTGCAAAGTAGCCCTGTGTTTTCCTGAATGGATTTACTCTGCCATATGGCAGGTTAGTGAGTCATCACGACAGATTTGTAATGGGAAAAGGGCTGTGCAGGAAAGGATGTGCGTGATCAGCAGATTTATAGATCAGAAAATGAAATCGGAGAAAGAATTTCCAGAGTGCCCTTTCCATTTGACAGCTCTCCATGGAGAGGGTGTGGAATGGTTTTTTAGTGTTTTTCTATTTTGGCTTTTGGTTGTTCCAGCATATTTTTTCTAGCACTGGAGTTGATTTTGCAAGGCATCAGTGTTCCCGGTGTTGTGTTGCTGTGTTCCTGTTCACAGAGCTGGTCTCTTTATAGGATTTGAAGCTGTGCTGTTTCATGTGATAAGATCTCAGTGACAATTAAATTCCTGAAGACACATCAAGGCTCCTGTTGGCTAAAATGGGGATTTGCCAGGTTTTGAGTCCTAAGAAGAGGCTATTCAGTTATGATTCAGCAAGTACTGAATCTTTCTTTTTTTTTTTTTAAAGATTTATTTATTTATTTATTTTGAGAGAGTGAGAATGAGAGAGAGTACATGAGAGCGGGGAGGGTTAGAGGGAGAAGCAGGCCCCTCGCCGAGCAGGGAGCCTGATGCGGGACTCGATCCTGGGACTCCAGGATCATGACCTGAGCCGAAGGCAGTTGCTTAACCAACTGAGCCACCCAGGCGCCCCAGTACTGAATCTTTCAAAGGAAAGAAAACAAAAAGAAAAGCCGAGTGAGCTAAAGATCATATGTCCTGGTGTATTTAAGTCTGTGCTATCCAGTATTGCAGCCACTAGCCACATGCAGCCACTATTTAAAGTTAAATTAATTAGAATTAAATAAAATTAAAAGTTTGGTCCCTCAGTCTCACTAGCCACATTTCAAGTACTCAGTAGGCACACAAGGCTAGTTAATATGGTATTAGACAACACAGATAAATTATATTTCCATCACTGCAGAAAGTTCCACCGGGCAATGTTAGTCAAAGTAGAAGCTTTTGAGAAAGAAAATTCTTTCTTTGGTTTCCATGAGGACATCTTCATCCCTAAATAATTTACTGGGTTAGTGCAGTGGTTCTAAGGTTTTAATGTACAAGTGAGTCATCTGTAGGGCTTATTTAAAATGGAGATTTGAGACCCCTCCCCAGACTCTCATTCATCAGGTTTGGAGTTGTGACCAGAAATCTGTACATATAACAAGTATTCTAGGGAATTCTGATGCTGGTAAGTGGCTCAGGAACTACATTTTTAAAAATGTTAAGTTTAAGTGAGAAACTTGGGAATTGCCAGTCTCTTGATTTTTTTCCCCCCTTCATTCTTCCATTACTGACTTTCATTTGTGTCCCCAGTAATTGGTTGTAAGCAAGATGTATACCCAACTTGAACTCTTGATTGGTAGTAAGTAGCAAAAAGAAAATTCATTTATTTACCGTCTCATCTTTTAATGTATGTGTTTTAATTTGGCTGTGCCCTATAAAAAGTAAACAAATGGTTATTTCAGTACCATTCTGGACTGTGTGGGAAGGTAATTCTGACAGAACACCTTTGACCACTAAGAGTAGAGCACCCACAAAATTATAATAGAGTAAAAAAAGAAATATAACACATCGTCTTCTCTCTGAAGATAATATCTAGTTAGGAAATGGATAAATACATCCAGAGAACTGTCTTAAAGGGCACTTAGTAACAAATCAGTAATTTGAAAAATAACGTAGGAGAAACTAAATCCTGAAAGAACTCAAAGGAAAAGCATGATCTGATCTGACTGAAAATCATCTAGGTTACCTCCTTTGTATGATTTTAAGAGTTTCTTATCTAGGGACTTGGCCTTTGCCAATCTGGAATGGGCAATACAAAACGGGAAGGATCTCTAATTTGGTCCCATGGTATAGTTGTGGGGGTTTTGGCAATAGTACCAGGCCAAAAAGGGCATCTGGAAACCAACTAAAGGGACTACTCAGAGTGTACTGGATTTAAAACTTCTCTGAGTGGGACACCTGGGTGGCTCAGTCTGTTAAGCGTCTGCCTTCGGCTCAGGTCATGATCCCAGGGTCCTGGGATCGAGTCCCGCATTGGGCTCCCTGCTCTGTGGGGAGCCGCTTCTTCCTCTACCCCTGCTTGTGTTCCCTCTCTCGCTGTGTCTCTCTCTGTCAAATAAATAAATAAAATCTTAAAAAAACAAAACAAAAAAAAAACTTCTCTGGGTGACTCCATAATCATGGAACTTCATTTGCTCACAGAAATGAAAGTGGAGAAGAAATGGAGGTGAGGGAAGTTCACTTTATAAGAGGAACTGCCTTTAGGGAATTTCAAATACTGGTACTGGGAAAGAAAAAAAAAACTGTCAGGGTTCCAAAGAATAGAAAGTTTTCTTTTAAAATAATTGTCTATAGCCTCTTCTCCTTGGAGAAATTGCCCCTTAGGCTTCTCTGAGGACAATATTTGAAGAAGCAATGTTAGGAAGACAGGAAGAAAAAGGGAAAAAAGCTCAATATGTTGGGGCGCCTGGGTGGCTCAGTTGGTTAAGCGACTGCCTTCGGCTCAGGTCATGATCCTGGAGTCCTGGCATCGAGTCCCACATCGGGCTCCCTGCTCAGCAGGGAGTCTGCTTCTCCCTCTGACCCTCCCCCCTCTCGTGCTATCTCTCATTCTCTCTCTCTCAAATAAATAAAATCTTTAAAAAAAAAAAACTCAATATGTTATTTTTTTAAAAAGCATTTTCACATATTTGGAAGATTTGCTTTTTTTTTTCTTTCTTTTTGCTTGGTAGTTTGGTTAAACCAGTAGCCACTCCACCACTTGTCCTAAGAGTCAGATCTAATTCTGTACTTACCTGTACTTTCAGTAAAGCAAGTTAACATTTTCCCACCCTTTCTACAAGACGTTCATGTTCTTTTCACATTGTCTTAGTCCCTCAGGGTTGCTATAACAAAAATACCATAGACTGAGTGGCTTATAAACAGCAAACATTTTTCACAGGAGGCTGGGAAGTCCAAGATCATGGCACCAGATTCCATGTCTGGTAAGGACTTCCTGGTTCATGACCATAACGCTGGCTTTTCGCTGTGTCCTAACATGGGTGAAGGGTGAGGGAACTGTTTCATAAGGGCACTAAAAATCCCATTAGTGAAGGCTCATCCCATGAGGGTCAACCCATTCATGACCTAATCATCTCCCAAAGGCCCCGTGTCCCCTTGGGGGTGGGTGGGTAGGAGGTGTTGATATTTTAGCATATGAAAGGGGGGTACACAAACATTCAGACCATAGACCTATAAAATGTTATTTAGATTGGGGCACTTGGCTGGTTCAGTTGGTAGAATACGTGACTCGATCTTGGGCTTGTGAGTTTGAACACCACATTGGGCGTAGAGCCTACTTTAAAAAAAGTTGTTTAGATTGAGGCTTACACACTACCTCCTTAGGTTCTTTGGTCTCAAGAAAATAAATATGATACTTTGTACTGTAGAGGACTTTCTCTTTCTTACTTTTATCCTGTTACCTCTGCTTTGAAATACATTGAAACCGACCTAAGATTGCCTTTTTGAGGGTCTTCATCTCTCAGTGGTATATGAAACATGTCTCTCCTCCCCTCTGTCCCTTTGTGCATACAACTAGGATCTTGATCAGTACAAGATACAGAGGCTTTCACTTCTAGGACATCATCAGTTCAGAGATGGTTGAGTACAAGTTTCTTTGGTGGCCAGTTGAGTACAGTGTGAAGTAAGAGTAATGCCATTTCCTCAGGAGTACAAATCAGCCTCGCAAAAAATTAGCTGATATTTAAGAATTAGTACAGGCTTAGAAAATGTAAAGATTCAACTTGGTGCTAAACCCTCCCCCCAGTATTTCTTTTTTTTTTTTTTAACTTCCTTCCAAAGGAACCAATTTTGAATTGAAAAGTAATGAGCATTGAATTGAAAATGGCAGTTGCAAGCCTTTTTCTAGGGAAATATTTTGCTGAAAGCTTTCTCTCTCTCTTTCTCTTTCTGGGGGCTCTGTTGTGCCAGGTTGAAAGAGTGGAGCCTTCTGTAAGACATGGATAGATGCAAACATGTCGGGCGGTTGCGGCTCGCCCAGGACCACTCGATCCTGAACCCGCAGAAGTGGTGCTGCAGGGAGTGCGCCACCACCGAGTCCGTGTGGGCTTGTCTCAAATGCTCCCACGTGGCCTGCGGCCGCTACATCGAGGATCACGCCCTGAAACACTTTGAGGAGACCGGGCACCCGTTAGCCATGGAGGTCCGGGATCTGTACGTGTTCTGTTACCTGTGCAAGGACTACGTGCTCAACGATAACCCGGAGGGGGACCTGAAGCTGCTCAGAAGCTCCCTCCTGGCGGTCAGGGGCCAGAAGCAGGACCCGCCGCTGAGGCGCGGGCGGACGCTGCGGTCCATGGCCGCCGGCGAGGACGCCGTCCCGCCGCAGCGCGCTCCTCAGGGACAGCCGCAGATGCTCACGGCTCTGTGGTACCGGCGCCAGCGCCTGCTGGCCAAGACGCTGCGGCTCTGGTTCGAAAAGAGCTCCCGCGGCCAGGCGAAGCTGGAGCAGCGGCGGCAGGAGGAGGCGCTGGAGCGCAAGAAGGAGGAGGCGCGGCAGCGGCGGCGCGAGGTGAAGCGGCGGCTGCTGGAGGAGCTGGCCAGCGCCCCTCCGCGCAAGAGCGCGCGCCTGTTGCTGCACACGCCGCGCGCCGCGGCCCCGCTCCCCGCCTCGCCGCGCGCGCCCACCGGGGGCCGCCCGCCGCCGCGCCGCGCGCCCGCCATGGCGCCCGGCGTCACGGGCCTGCGCAACCTGGGCAACACTTGCTACATGAACTCCATCCTGCAGGTGCTCAGCCACCTCCAGAAGTTCCGCGAATGTTTTCTGAACCTCGACCCTTCCCAGACCCAACAGCTGTTTCCCAAGGCCCCCAACGGGAAGGCTCCGCTCTCGGGCAGGCCCGCCGGCAGCTCAACCACCGAGCTGTCGGCCAGGAGCGATGGGGCCGAGGCGTGCGAGCGGGAGGGCCTCTGCTTCAACGGCGGGGCCTCCATCAGCAGGAGCCTAGAACTCATCCAGAACAAGGAGCCGAGCTCAAAGCACATTTCCCTCTGTCACGAACTGCACACCCTCTTCCGAGTCATGTGGTCCGGGAAGTGGGCCCTGGTGTCGCCCTTCGCCATGCTTCACTCCGTGTGGAGCCTGATCCCCGCTTTCCGCGGCTATGACCAGCAGGATGCGCAGGAATTCCTCTGCGAGCTGTTGCACAAAGTGCAGCAAGAGCTCGAGTCCGAGGGCACCACGCGCCGGATCCTCATCCCCTTCTCCCAGAGGAAGCTCACCAAACAGGTCTTAAAGGTGGTGAACACCATATTCCACGGGCAGCTACTCAGTCAGGTAGGTTGGCCCACCCTGCTCCCGACTCTCCCCCGTCGTGTCCCAGGGAGGCTTGCTGGTTAGAGTTTGGGCTTCCCGTGAGTGCCTCCGCCAGGTTATTGGGGGAACGAGGATAGCCAGCATTTGCTGTAATGACGCATAACGGAGGGTGGCCATTGTACCTTTCGTTGTGCTGTGCGTTGTAATGGCCTTGTTGGTGAACTTGCGTCCTCTATCTGGGCAGATTTTTAGTTGAATTTGCTGTATCACGTCATTTTCAGTGACTGTCTTTAACCTTTAATGACAATATAGGTAATACAATATCCTCATTGTTATAATTAAGAACCTATTGTTGGTGTGCCCTCCTTGATCAATTTCAGGAAATTGAACAGTTTGCCTATAACCCTGGTTTCATAGTTTGAAAGAGCCTTCTTCCTTCCAGAACATTCTTTACATACAAGGAAGGGAGATGGCTAGGAGGATGCCAAAGGCCTAAGCAAGTCCCCCTTCAGTTCCCCATTACCTCTCGTTTTCTGGATCGTTTTCTCTTACCTGTGCAAGGATTACGTGCTCAACGATAACCCGGAGGGGGACCTGAAGCTGCTCAGAAGCTCCCTCCTGGTGGTCAGGGGCCAGAAGCAGGACCCGCCGCTTAGGCGCGGGCGGACGCTGCGGTCCATGGCCGCGGGCGAGGACGCCGTCCCGCCGCAGCGCGCTCCTCATGGACAGCCGCAGATGCTCACGGCTCTGTGGTATATGTCACAAACATATAAGCAAAGACTCATAGATAAGACTTTGTGAGAATGTGTGGAGTTAAAAAGGTGGGCAACGTAATGGATTCAGGTAAAACATCTACATTATGTTACTGAGGTATGTGTCTCAGTATTTAGGGTTTTAAAAGAATGATGAATGGGTTGGGAAGAGGTTTATTTAGGCTTTTGTTTTTAGCATGTAAAGGGGGCGTACCTATGGGCACTTCCTCTACCTGCCCTGGGTCCACAGGAAGAACAGTGCATCGGGGAAGGTTATAGTGGGAGAGGAAGTCTGATCATAAGGCACTTTGAGGCTCTTTGAATACAGGGATCTGTGTAGGGATAATACTGCCAGAAACAAGGGCAAAAAAGAGAGGCAAGTTGGAGTGGGTAGAAGTAGCAAAGTCTGGATGAGGAAGGAGTGAGGATGAGAGAAGCAGACAGGAATCTGCCAGTTCTCTATCTCAGACTGATCCAGGAATGGTCCCATGATAACTTCCAGTGTGTACTGCCACAGCACTGAATGGTAGAGCATGCTTTGGGAGAGAGAGAGAGAAAGGGTAGGTAATAATCTCTGTGCTATGTGGTTTTTCCAGTTCCAGCTAGCATCATAGTTAGAAATGTATACCAACAGTAATATGTTCTAATCCTCTTAAGGTTGCATTTATTATTTTAATATAATTAAAATTTTTTGAAAACTTATGCTTCTTTTTGCTAAGATATGTTTTGTCTAAATCGAGCAAAAATGTATGTGGGAAACATGGAGGTTATATAACCTGTAAATCAATCTTTTCATTCTAGGTCACATGTGTATCATGCAATTACAAATCCAATACCATTGAGCCCTTTTGGGATCTGTCCCTGGAATTCCCTGAACGGTATCACTGCATAGAAAAGGGGTTTGTCCCTTTGAATCAGACAGAGTGCCTGCTCACTGAGATGCTGGCCAAGTTCACAGAGACAGAGGCCCTGGAAGGGAGAATCTACGCTTGTGACCAGTGTAACAGTGAGTGCTGGGGGGTAGAAGTGGAGAGGGAGTAGGGGGACGTGCATCTGGAATATCGGTGTAAGGTGCTGTTTTTGCTCCTTTAGTCAAAAGTAACACTGATAATATTGAGTAGTTCTAAAGCATCTTTTAAAGATTTTTTTTCTCCCATTTTCCTGAAAACAAGCATGTGGACATCATGTTAAAAAACAAAACAAAACCTAAGAGTTGGGCTTCCTTTGACTCCTGCTGTGATTGACATTAGTTGTTATCTTGGGAGGCATTTGAAAGTGTGGATCCTGAAATGGGGACTCTAAGAATGTGAGTACTTAGCTTCATAGTGCTACAAGGGTCCTGCTTAAATTCATGAACCTAGATCTGACAGTTCTGATTTCATCTAAAGTCAGGTGGCATAGCTTGTTTGAGGGTTACGGTATCAGAAATGTGTGCCTTGTACTGAATTTGCAGATTTCAATGCGCAAATCGTCAGAATCGATGCAATAGATTGGTACGAGACCAGGAAGGCAAGTCATAAGGTGCATCAGTTTCATGGTTACTTTCTGCATTTGTTTCTTCATATGCCTTCACATGCCATGCATCTGGGGAAGAGAGTATTTCTCTGTCACAGCTCTCATTTTAAAGTGGAACTCTTTGCATGTGGTTGGTTACATAGGCACCTTTTGCAGAGCTCCTTCCATCTTGCCACACTAATAACACTTAGTGCTTTTGCTAACCCAGCACGTACAGAGGAAATGCGGAGCAAATACTTAGAAGCTCGAGTTTGAGTTTTTTGGCATATCAAGATTTGGAAACTAAAATTAATGGATTGTGTAGGTATCTTGAAATCAATTTGCAGCCATAAAATAGTTTGGACTACAAGTTTTGAGAACCACAATCTTATGATGACCCTTAAAATATTTGCATATGGTCTTTTAAAATAGTGAACTGTGGGAAACCTATTGTCCCTGAAGAGTCAGGACAAAAATAAAAAGTCATGCTTGATATTATTCTGCCATTTTTAAACAAAATTTGAAATGCTGTACTTGGATAACTACAGAGTCACCTGCCCTGTTCCTTATTGAGATATAAAGGTCGTGACTTAAATTATCTTATTAGAGCAGTATCTATTTGATTTTTTGAAGGTAGTGATGCCTAAAGCTTTTTACTTGTGAGGAACAGAAGGATGTTAACAGCTTTAACTCCATCATTCTTGGACAAGGTAGATTAGGGAGGAAATACTTTTATTTATTTTTGCAAAAAAGGATTGTTTTTCTGGTTGCCAGATGTGCCAATTTATCAGGATTTCTCTAGGCAAGTTCAAATAGTAGCAGGGAAGGAAAGCTATGGCGAAAGGTCTGAGATGCATTGTTGTAATGTGCTTGTGAAGTTTCAAAACTGTCAGGCTTCTACCTTCCCATGTGGCCAGCTTAATCGAATGGAGACAGACCTGATCAATCTCAGTTGAATCAGTAATTTCTTTTTCTTTGTGAATTTCATTTTAGGGAAACAAAGCCGGATTCTATATTGTCTTCATCTTAGCTCACATACTCCCTCTACTGAGAGTGGCAGTCACTGCCAGGGTTCCCAGGCAGTGCTGCAATAATTTTCGAAAATCTGCTGGTGAATTAGAATGTAAAATAAGGTCAGGCCCCTCTTTGAATTCTCTTTCTGTTCATGCCCCCACATATCATGACCACCAGCCCTACTGAAAGGTTCCCTGGCACACTCATTCTGCTGCAGTCTGTTATGAGAACAAGCAGCTCCACATCCTATTGTCCCAGGGAGACCCGTGAAGCATCATCTGGCTGTGATTTGCTGCCTTTCATGAGTGGTACAGACAGGACTTAGATGTCAAGCTCTTCAGACACTGAGACCATGATATCTCAAAGACAATTAGCAGGCACCACAGTGAACCACTAGTTTTATATTCCCATCCAGTCACCAGTCTAATTAATATAATAACCGAGCAGTCATCAGTAAATGGGTATAGAGAAGGCTTCCGATGGAAATTAAGAGAACTTTATTTCCATTGTTTATTTGATGTAATTTAGAAATGCATTCCCCTCACAATTCAGTAGCTTTAGAAACAAAATGAGAGTCTGAGCACTGGTTCTGCTTTGGAAGGGATGAATTTGGCCAGTCCGTCCACCTTGTCCTCCATGTCGAGCCATGTGCTTTTATCCAAGAAACATGTTTCAAAACCTAGATACGGCATAAAACTATAAAACCAGCAGTTTCTTTTCTAATATTTATATATGTCACAAACAAATCATGCTGAAGAAAGAATCTGTTTAAATATTCTGTCCTTTGGTAATCCTGTGCCCCCTTACTTTTCCCCCAAGCCTGAAATATATGCATTATTCCCCATTTTACAGGAGAGGAAACTGAGGTTGAGAGTTTTAAACATCATACAACTAGCTGTGAGCAGGAAATAGAATTAGGCCTACTTGATGAAAACAAAAACTTTTCAAGTTACATTCTGACGCATCATAATTTAAGTGATAAGCGAATATATAAAGGCATAGAACCCTGACGTGCATCTACTCTGCATGCATGTTGTTGTGGTGACCTTCCAGTATATTCTATTAATAAATCCCTGATCTCAGGAATATACCACCCAAAACCCATACCAGTTTTGGAGGTTGCTGATGCAAAAATTGGGGAGTGGATATATCAGGATTAGGTTTGGTTGTTTTTCAGTTAACTCAGATAATAATGACTTAAAAATGGGATATAATTTTTGTTTCCTGTTCCATAAAAGAAGTCTGAAGGACATTCGGGGACTAGTATAGTAGCTGCGTGGTCACTAGGGACCCAAGCTCTTTTCACCTTTCAACTTGACTAGTTCAAGGCTTCCACCCCAGGGTTAACTCGTGGTCCAAGAGGAACAGTTACAGTCACCCTCAGAGTGCTGCCACCCAGTCATCCCTTCCGAGCCTGGGAGACCTGCCGTGGCCACACCAGGCAGGCACATGGGGCTGGGAAATGCAGTCTGACAGAGGGTCACAGCGCTGCCCCAGACAAAACTGAGGTCCCAGTACTGAGAAATAAGGAGAAAGCATATCGGGTGGCAAGTCATTGTCTCTGCCATAGCCAGGAAAGGACGAGACTCCTCACCATCTATGTCTTATACCTTCCCAAACCATATAGGCAAACGACGAAAATCCAATCCCAAGCCCCTTGTTCTGAGTGAAGCTAGAAAGCAGTTAATGATCTACAGACTACCTCAGGTCCTCCGGCTGCACCTTAAAAGATTCAGGTGAGCTTGCTCTGGGGCCTTCCAGGTGGCTGTGAGCTGTGGGGATGATAGCTGCCTCAAAGGCTTTGGTGAGGGCAGATGTCTTCTTTGGTGTTGGGAGGGGAAGCCTATTCCCTAGAGACCTTGCACTTTCCATGGCGACTAAATGCTTCCTGCCCAGTAAGGCATGTTAATGGTGGGGGGCGGGGGCAGGACAGGGCTTCAGCTCGCACGGCCCTGTCTCATCAGCTAGCCTGCACTGGGTGTCTGCTTGGGAGATTCTGTATCCCCACTCGGGCTTATAAAGAGTCATTTTCAGAACCAAGTATGACATAATCTGTGAAAAAAAGGGCAGGCAGTAAACTACAAAAAGATTATTGCCCAAACTGCTTGTTTTAGGGATTTCTAGTTTCAGAGTACATCATGGAACATTCACGGGAAATATATGTGGGCATTGATCACTGTTTTATTGATGCAAAAGCCACATCTTGAAGGTTATGTTTTCTCAGTTCCCTTTTTTACCTTCCTCTACCTAGGATAACATATGCCATTTTTTACTAGTATGAACTTTATATCCATGCTTTAGGTGGTCTGGCCGTAATCATCGAGAGAAGATTGGGGTCCATGTCGTCTTTGACCAGGTATTAACCATGGAACCTTACTGCTGCAGGGACATGCTCTCCTCTCTTGACAAAGAGACCTTTGCCTATGATCTCTCCGCAGTGGTCATGCATCACGGGAAAGGGTTTGGCTCAGGACACTACACAGCCTATTGCTACAACACAGAGGGAGGTGCGTGCGCTTGACTCTGTGGGGTGGGGGACACGGAAAAGGGTCGGTGTGTCCACATTCCATTGCTTTCCTTTTATTTCATCTATAGGGGGATATTACATACATGAAAATCTAGTGGAAAGAATTATGAAAGTTGAATTCAAATTTTGGATATATCACCAAGTGACAACAGAAGATTGTTCTAAGAATTGACAGGAACCAACACATATAAAAGTACTTAGCATGGTTCCTAGCACATAATGCTTAATTAATTTTAGAGGTTTCTCATTGTTATTAATACTTCTGCAGTTCCATTTCCTTCGTGGTTAAGCAGAAATGCTATGACTTTCATAACCTCATGGAGATACTGTATGAATCTCACCAGCCCCAGCTCCCAATAAAGCTGAAGACATTTCCTGAGCACTTCCTATGTCCTTACCATAGGAGGTATGGGGGGTACAAGGGCCCCGCTAAAGGAGCTTTTAGTCCTTGTCCCCCCAGAGCATAGCCTCCCAGCTACTGTGCACTGAGGTGGGTGAGCTGCGGCTGTGTTTTTTGTCATGAACCCCTCAGCCCTTAAGGCAGCTGGTGTGAAATAACTTTTTATTCCTTCTAAATTCCCCTTTATCACTCCTCCATGTACATTTCACCCCCCCCACTCCTCTTCCCATTTCTTAGCCCCCAGTCTTCAGGCTACTTTTGTAGAAGGCCCTAGTGGGCAATGAAAAAGCCTGAATAAAATGAGGACAAAAATTACAGTCAGTCGATCTGTAAGTAGTATCGAGGTGGGCTTGGGTGGAGTCAAAGCCGGTGGTCGCAGGAAAGTCTGTTGGTTTCATTTACCAGTCTTCCACACCCCCTCCCCCACCCGCGCCCCACCAGTCAGGGGTTGGTTCTGTTCAGAATTCCTCTGTCCCTTTCTTCATCTCCTGGTTTTGCCTGCCGATTGGAAATATGAGTGGGGTAGTCACTCTCTTTCTTTCCTTGGTTTCCTAGGTTTTTGGGTCCACTGCAATGACTCAAAGCTGAATGTATGCAGTGTCGAGGAAGTGTGCAAAACTCAAGCCTACATCCTTTTTTACACTCAAAGAACAGTTCAGGGCAATGCAAGAATTTCAGAAACCCAACTCCAAGCTCAGGTGCAGTCCAGCAACAACGATGAGGGCAGACCACGGCCCTTCCCCTGAATGGGAGGCACGTTTCAAGGACTGGCTTGCTTTTAAACTATTGGTGTTCGTATATCTTTCCTCTTACAGGAAATAAGGTTTAGTGCAGGAACAGAGTACTAGGTTTGCCTCACTGGGACTACAGCAGAGAAGGTGCTAGGTGATTCATGTTCTATCATAAAATCTGTAGTCACTTTCTTTTGAATGGATTTGGGAATTCCCTCCTTTGATAACAAATCAAAAGGAGTAACTTCTATGAAGATTCTTTCATCAGTTGCTTCTGAATAGAGAGGATCTGGGTGGAGGAAAGAGGGGGTAAATTGATCATATGCAGCCGGGAGAGCAGCCATGTTTTCTTTCCATTACGCGATTCCCCCACTAATCAGGACTTCCTTGCGGCCCCAGAAGAACCCTCCTGATGTGAGCAGCCCTGGACAGAGCACGTGAGGTGGGGCCCTGGGCTGGCAGCTTGCTGGATGGGATTGGTTCCAAGGCGGGAGGTGAATAATGCTTTCTCCCCACAAAGGAAGTAAAGGGTTGAAACCCCTTTCAACCCCACAAAGGGTTGAAAACTTGCAGACTTCCTTTTTTTAGGGGATAGCAGTGGAAGAGTGGAATAAGATGCATAGAGCAAATTTGCCGTGCAAAACGGGAGGTTTTTCAAGTGTCCTACCCTCCCTGGCTGCTGCTGTCATTTAATCATTCCACATCGTCTTGAGACTGGCATGAATGTCCCTTCATTCTAAAGAAGGAACAGTTCATATGGGGAAGCAATAAAGTGGTCCAAGACTTGTTCTTTGTTGCATGCTGAGCCTAAGGGCACCCCTGGCTACCCAGTTCTGTAGCATGTCTCTGGTTTGGGTGTAGGGCAAGCACATGGTTTGGTGTAAATTGGTCATTAGGCCAGTTGTCTGAGGCTGTCTCAGAACTCAGTTGAGGGTAGGCAGGGATAGCTGGTGGTCCAGGCCTTATCTGAATGCCCATCACCTGTTCTCACCTTGGTGCAGCATGCAGCTTTTCTTAGCTTGCAGCTTCTTTTTGCACCTGGAGGGCTAGAACATCCTTGTTCAGCACAAGGTTTGGGAACTTCTGCTTTCGTAGGGCTTAGGAATCTGCCCCCATACATCTGAACAGTTCATTACTGCTGGTCCTGGCCTGTTTCCTCCCAAATTTGATAATCCCTACTGTTTCTTTACCCACCTACACTCAGTCCATCGGAGAGAAAAAAAAAAAAAAGAGTGCCCTGTCATTTACTTAAGTGCTAGTAAAATACATGTTTCTTTTTATATGGGGTCAGTTTCTAAGTGGAATGAAATTGCCCAGATGGAAACCCTCCTCCTCATCAGGCACCACTGAATTTCCCTTCTCAGTCCTGCAGTAAAAGTGAACGCAGACCGAACTCTGACTGCGGGGGCTGCTGCAGCCCGCCTCTGCCTGTCACTATGAATGCTCATCTTCTGACTGAGTGTATCATATTAATGTTTCAATTCAGGGAGAAGTCACAGTTGTCACTTGAAGGAAGCAGATGTGGAGGGAGTTTGGGGAACGGTGGGAGGTTGGGAAAAGAGCGGGTAAGAATGAGGGTCGTAGTTTAGGGGGGGTGTTGATGAGCCCCATTTCCAGAGCAGATCTGTAGCCTTTGCTATTGACCTCTTTTGAGATGGACTCTCCCATAGGACCTGTCAGACAGCACTGAGACATGGAGGAAATTCAGACAGAAAATGGCTCACCCTGATAAAGAAGGGGGAGTGACTATATTTTAAATTAAACTTGCTTTTTCCAACACTGTGAGGTTTCTGTAATATTTAGCTTTTATTTGGAAGCGATAGCGTATGGCATTTTTTATGCTATTTGGTTTATATTGTCTACTGCAGGCTTCTTTGTACAAGCTTGGCCCGGGCTCACCCTCTCCTGGACACTGTTTTAAAGTGTCACAGCTGCCCATGCTGCCAGAGGCTCTGAGGTAAAGCTATACTCTAGATCCACATTTTTAAGTTGGCAGGATTGATGATGACTTCTTGTGGCAATGGAAAAGCCCATTAACTCAAAAACAAAAACAAAAAATAAGCAAAACCCCAAGGAGAGTAAAAAGGAAAATATAAATTGTGCCTCATCTTTCTTTGAATGCTATATTTGTTATTCTAGAAAAAGAGAACTTACAAATGGAAAAGAACTAAATAGAGCATCTACTTCATCCCTCAGGCTGTCCAGGGGGAAATACTTAAGAATAATGAACATTTAACGGAAAATTAAAAGATCTTCAAATTTAATTTTTAAAAATAGTTTTATACCAAATATTTATAAGAATTATTAAGCAGATTTAAGGACTTTGTGAAATAAATGCTTAACTTAGCTGGGCACCCTTGTTATCAAATTAGTAAAATTGTTTAAAATGAGTTGGCATAGAAACCACCCGCAGAGTCCTCACTGAGCTGCGTACTCTTGAAGGTGCCCCTGCAGTCACAGACACCTCAGGTACCCAGAGGCAGCAGCACTAGACGCTGTTGAGAAGTTAGTATTTATGGAGATTTTTATTAAAGAGTTCCCTGCTGCATAAGCCAATGGCTGTTGTGAGGGAAATGTCCCTTTGCCTTTAATTTATTTACATATTGGAAGTAGATGGATTTTTAGTTGCATCTTACTTTAAACTGAAACATTCTAAAGAGAAGAAGATAAGAACCAGGTAGATGTTGACTAGATGCTGCCAAATCAAGCCCAAGATCTCCTAACTAAACCTTACGGGGCCTGCTTCTCCCAGGCAAGTAGTTAGAGTCCCGTTCCAGGAACCCTTTGTAGTTGGCTGGTGTGTTTACTTTCTGCTGTAGCCAGCCAAGATGAATGCACCCTGGCCCTCAAAAAGGATTTTTACCTCAATCTAGTTTGACCCTCATACTTGTGGTTGCCTCTGAGATGAGCAGCCATGCTAGTGTTAAAAAAAAAAAAAAATTAGGAATGCCCTCAACAGCCAGGAACTGAAGCTCTTAGTAAATGGTGGGCAGAGCTCTTGCCAGTTTTGATCCAGCCCCCTCTCAGGCTGAGGGGGGCAGTGCCACACTGAAAAGAATTTCCAGATGTCTCTTAAAATGTCATGAATAAAATTAGAAACTGTAGTAGAAGTGTTAATGTGTCCTATGGACTCAATAGCAGAGTTTATTTTTGTTTTTAATGGCAAGGCTTCTAGAGTCAATGATTGTATGAGTTCCCTACTCTGGCTACACTTACATAGCTTCATCCAAGTGCAAGAACTAATGACGTGGATTGGCCGGCAGTGGGGCATGGCCCTGGCCAGCCCCCTGCATAAGCCTGAGAGAGGTCGACAGTAGTAAAGAAGGAAAACTTTGTTGGGATGGGGGGCGGGATGCGGGTGGGCAGGCAGGGAGGGGGGAGATGGAGTTTGTTTTACTTACTGATAAAAGCTTTGCAAACTAATTTTATACAATTCATAACATTTGGTGCCTTGTACCCAGTTATGGTTTGCATGGGATTGAAAAGATTAAGGGAAAGGATGTCGCCTTGTCATTTTGGGTGGCAAATGGGTCTGTACAGTGTAAAGGACATTTGGTATCAGACTTTTTAAAAGCATTTCATCTCGTGTGTGAAAGATAATTATTCTTACCAGCAAGTTCTAAAATTTTACTGTAATGTCCAAAATCTTTGGATTTGTGACTATTCATCAAATGGCTGCTTTTCAAGGCAGACTATGTACCCCGTTCTTTCTCACCACCCCTTTTATGTTCTAAACATTAATTCGGTCCTTTTCGGGTAGGCTGGGAGTGCTACCTCTTCCCAAACATATACTGTACCCCTATCGGGTTATACCTTGAGTGGAAGGGTTGCTTTTCCAGCTGGTTGGGAGAGCACAAATGTTCAGAAAGGGCCTTTTTTTCTAATGTTGGGCAACTTATGGTAGAAGTTGAACAAAAATCGTTCCTCCTGAAGTATTACCTTCATTAGTTCTGAAGTTCTTTTGCACAAAATTTCAGGAAGCAGTGTAGTACGCAATCCCCTATATGTGAACCTTTAGATTGTAAGGCAAGCCAGTGCACTGTGTAATATGCAAAAGAGAAGGCTCAAAGAACCTGTTCCAGCGCCCCCCCCCCCCCCCCGCCCCCGGCCCCTTTCCCTGGCAGGCACCGACTGGGATGGTGCTGAGTGGCTGTGGAAAGGGAGAAGACCCAGTCCGCTCACCTGCAGAGCTGTTTACAGCCTGTTCCTTTTACTCTGACCTTAAGGTTTCCATTGAGCTCATGAGACTTCACCAAAGGGTGTTTTGAAAGCTCACCACTTGAAGCACATTTGATAATTGGTTCCTTCAGCCTAATTAGTTGAGGAGGTTGTACTTTTGGAGCAAAATCTCCCATGGCAACTGTTTTTTTTTTTTTTACTGGGTAAGTATGCATCTCCCTGGTGGTTCAGATTCTTTTTGAAATCAGCGCTAAAGCTGAAAGCACCTTCTAAATATGACTGAGTTTAGTTTAGATCTTTCACGTTTAACCATTCTCTTGGTCTAGGGCTTCGACTTTAGTGTTTATTCCTTCAACCCACACATTGCTCTAAATACACCATAGCTACTCTAGCATTGAGGCAAATGGTCATTTTTGTGGACTTTTTCCATACTTATTTCTGCTGGCATATTTCCATTTAAAATCTAACCAGGTAGTATAAGAGCTTTCTGTAGTACTATGTTAACCAGCCAGGGTTGAAAATCATGTGACAGATGTGAAATTGACTTCGCTTGGGGAGAATGTTGTGTTGGAACGGTGAAAGCCAACATTTTAATTTACAGAATTAATGACTGTTCGTCGAAATTCTGGGAAATTGTAGATTTGATAGCTTTACTTGCTAAATTCTTAACACTTTGAGGAATTAAGCCAGTGTAAATGAAACCTTACCTTGCCAGTATTACGGCTTTATAAACCAACTAACAGTAAACACTATCACTTGAAGCTAAAACATAAAAATTTTGAGTGAAATATGAATTATGCTTTGGAAGCTGCCATGTCTTAATTTTTGCTGGATTTTTATTTTCAACTTTTAAAAACTTTATAAAATAGAACTGTTCACAGTTATGAGTAGATCAGGTCGCAGACTTCAAGGATCTGTTTCATACCTATGAAGAACAGGAGGTGCTGGTATTTCTTGTCTTAGCAGTGGTCTGATGCAGATCTGAAGGGGCTTAGAATTTATGCTGTGGCTTCAAAGTTTCCTTCCTGGTCACCATCTGGGAGGTGATGGCTTCAAACCTAAGCCTTGCTCTTGTGTATGTGACCCCTCCTCATCTTAACACCCAGTAAGATGGGTGTTAACACCTGTCAAATCATCTGTGGTCCCAGTGTAGATAGATTCTTAGAGGGTATTGGCTTCATGGCCTGAATTCACACACGCTCAAACTCCTCCCTAACAGATGGGACCTATCTAATTAGTGCAAGAGAATGGTGCTTTGTAAAATACATATGCACAATCTAATTCTCAGATTTTTTAACGAGATTTATGCTGGTAGGGTCAAAAAAGTGAACTGTTTTGTCCTATTTACCTTTTGTGAACAGACTGCTAGACCTCTGTCAACTCTTTAACAATTAAGGGCACTGTGGTGCATTCGTACAGACCCCCCCCTTCCATGTCCTTTAATCCCGTACCAGTTGCATAGGAGACTTGGCATGGAAAAGCGGGATTTTAAAAAATGACTAGTAGATGGGGTGCCTGGCTGGCTCTGTCAGAAGAGCATGCCACTCTTGATCTCAAGGTCATGAGTTCGAGCCCCATGTTGGGTGCAGAGAGATTAAATAAACTTAAAAAATAAATAAAAAATGCCTAGAATAAATCAGCTAGGAAAAAAAAAATGCCTAGGGGAAACTCTTTATCTCCACACCTCTCTGAGCCTACACGAGTCTTTTCCATGCCAGTTCTTTACATATTCCATTTCCAAAGAACTCCTAATTCTTGGACAGTGACACTATTGCGAATTTAGGGTCAGAAAACCTCTATTTCCATGTGAAGAAAGCAGCTTCCTCAAGCAGTGTCACTTTAGTGCCCACTGCCCAGGCTTGCTTACACCTTGCCTCCACTGCACACGACTGCCCTCTTTCGACCAACAAATCCCACTCGATGACAGCAACAATGCCCCCCTGGTGCCTGGAAAACCCACCTGGTGCACTAAAATGCTATGCAACACCAAATGGCTTCTTCCCCTACTTCTGCTCAAAAGTGGAAATTCCTCAAAAATAAGTTTCACCTTATGTTGACATCAATGTACAGTGGCTACAGTTTCCTTTTTTTTTTTTTTCCTTTTAATATGAAGCAAACCACCTGTTACAATCCATGTTTGGGGGCTTGTTCCTGTCTCTGGAGTGTGAAATATAAATCATGTTTTTATGATTTTTGTAAATCTTGACTTTTTACACCTTGTTTTTGTAAGCTGAAGTTTCTTATTAAAAGAATAAAATGATTCTTTGTGTACAGTCTTTATTCCAAATATTTGTTAAAATACCATTAGGTTATTCCTCAGGACAAGAGCAAAGATCACCCCCTGCAGAAACTTAGGAACTATGTACAGAACTTTACAGAACAGAGGATAACACTTTGGGGGCAACGTGACTGCTGACCAGAGAACGGAGTTCTGAGCAGACTCAGTGGATAAAAGGAAATTGGGAAGGGAAGGTGCCCGTCTGTATGAAACTTCCAACTTCCATCAGGTCAAGTCTTGTGCGGGTCACAGATTGGAGGCTCTGTTTTTGGAAGGTTCAAGTAGAGCACGGGGGTCCCATGTGTCTGCAATCAGACCAGAGGACAACACGTGGCATTAGAACTCTAAAAGCACTGGAAGGAAATTAGTAAGAGACTCAAAATTTCTTGCAACATCTGTAAACACATTTAACTAGGAATAATAGCCATGGGACTTCTGAAAGTCTCTTTCCTGTATTTTGTGAATAGATAAATTACTGCTTCTCTCAACCTCTAGAGCTCCTAGACACGCAGAGCAGTGGTTAAGTGCTTACCTATTTGGCTACACCCCTGGCTGAGGTGCCATTAGGTCAATGTCACTCAAATTCCTGGCCAGCCAAACGCCCGCGGCAAAAAGTCCCAAATTGAGGATCAAGTTCCTGGAAAAAGGACATTTCATTAACCCTGTGGTCACTGAGTCACTTGTCTTTAGTTAACGAAAGATACTGGGGGAAAAGACTGACCATCACCACCCTGGAAAAACCTTCCGAGGCAAAAACACTGTTCTAGAATCGCAGGAACGTAGAGCTTTACAACGGTAGGGTGCCCAAGACCTACATGGTTACCGAGAGTTCGTTTCTGTAGCTAATAAGGGCAGGATCCAATGCAAAGGCCAATTAAGCACTCGCCCAGGGCCGAAAAGCCTGTTTGTGTTGGCGCCTCTTTTCCCCCTGGTCCCCCGGTCATGGTGAGATTCTCTAGACATAGCCCAGTAACTCAAAAGATCGCTTCTGCCGCACGAGAACTCTCCCAGTCAAGGACCTCTCCAAAGCACAGCCAGAGCCACTAAGAGGCCAAGATGCTGGCAATATACAGGGGCCAGCCTGGGCCAAGAAGGGAAGTAGGGAAGGTAGGCAGAGGGGCTCGGAGGACCAGAACGGGACAAGATCCCGGGTCTTCGGTTACCTCCGGAAATCGTTCCTGTCGGTGGCGAAGCGGTAGACGCCCCGGAGCCAATCTCCCACGTTGTCGGGAATTTCGGGTGCTTCATTTGGGGCGCCAGCAGCGCTCACGCCGACCCCGCTGGAAGCCATAGCAGCACCCTCGGGATCCGCAAGGCCTCTCCTGACGCACCGTGTGGACGTCGGCGGAGCACGCAACTTCCGGTCTCGCACTTCCGCCAGCGACTGGCCCGCAGGGGGCGCCGCTGCTCCCCCTGGGTCGGGCGCCCGGGGGAGAGGGAGAACTCCCGGGCTGCGCGGCCCGGCACTACAGTCGCCGGGTCGCGTCCCACCCCCGGCTCCCCCCGGCCTTCGGATCGCCAACCTGGGCACCGCCACACGTGGTCTCCGAGTGACCACTTCATTGGCTCAGGAAGATGCTGAGCATGGGGCTGTCCCAGCCTGAGGGGTGGGCATAGGGGCTAGTTCAGCAGGGGATGCGTAGCTTTGGGGGGGGTGGGGTTCCCCAAGAAAGTCTCCGTCAGAAGTGATAGATTTTGCAGGTTTAAGAGGGAGCACACCAAGTTTGTGATCTGGCCGCCTCCCCCAGGCGTGCCCCTGACTGCGTTCAGTCTAGGATTTTTGGGGGGGAGGAGGGCCTCGCTCTCCCACCTAACAGATCACATCCCCTCCCCCTTCTCCGGGCTGCGCCATTAGCAAATGGTGCAGTGCTTCCTGGAGGTGTCGCTGTGCCCAGCCTGGAGGCTTCCGGGGGTCTTCCAGGGACCGGGAAGGCGCTGACCTAAGAAAAAGCCTTCGGGTTCCGAGTCAGAAGAAGAGGAGCAGGTGGGGCAGGGGGCGTCCTCCTTGGCATCGAGGGGCGTCTCCAGGCGGCCCCGCTCCCGCCCTTTGGTGGGTACCTCCGCCTCGTCCCCAGCTCGACCCTCCTGCTCCGGACTGGATCGAAGCCGCCCTCTCTGGGTTTCCGGACTGGAGCGGGAGGCAGCGGCGAGAAGGGCTGCCCGGGAGATGGTAGCGGCGTCCAGCGGGACGCAGTCTCCCTCTTCAACTCTGTCGAGTCTCGCCTTCCCTGTTCCGGGCCCGGTCAGAAACGCCCATCTCAAAGCCGGGAGTCTCCCTTTCCCGGATCCGAGCGGGGCGGGCACCAGAGGCCCCGCCCCCGAGCCGTGCGCGCAGCCGCCGTCGCGACTCCTCTCCCAGGCTCCCCCGCCCCTCCCCGCCGCCGCCCACCAGAGGGCGGCCGCGTCCCCAGTCCGGGAGCGAGTCCCGCGCCGCAGCCCCAGCGGTGGCGCCGGGTGGGTTCGGGAGACCCTTGGAGCGCTCCGGCCAGGGACGCGCGGTGAGAGCTGCGGGCCCCGAGGCTCGGGTCTGGGGGGTGCGGTGGGGGAACGGGGGCGCTGCTGGAGGGACGGGACGGCGTGGGACCGGGGCGAGGGTCCCAGCCCGGGAGAATCCCCTCCTCAGCCCAGGCCAAGCCGCTGCCCCCTTCCCCTTTGATCTGCACCTTCTCCCTTACCAAGCGGCGCCCTCCCTTCCAGTGTCGGGGCCTGGCTCGAGCCGGCATTCGAATAGCGACTCTCAAAGCAGCGGGGGCAGCAGGGGCGGCCCCCCGGCAAGGCATAACGTCCCCCGCCCAAGGGCCCGGCGCAGTCCTGGCAGCAGAAGTGGTTCTCGTGCCAGCGCCGTCCCTCCGCCTCGGTGCAGCGCCGGGAGAAGATCAGCTGGGAGAGGGAGGGAGAACAGCTCATTCATTCATTCATTCATTCACTCACTCATTCATTCACCCAATAACCACGCCTTATACCCAGTTAACGCTAAAGCACGTCTACAGACATTCCATTTGATCTACTCTTCCGCTCTCGGACGCAGGGAGGGCTGATTGGCCTAGCCAGGATCCCGCTAGCAGGTGGCACAGCCTGAAGAAGCGCGACCCCGGTCGCCTGGACTCCCAACCCAGGGTTCCGCGCGGCCTCTTATGCTGACATTATGGCAGGTCCTCGCCTGATCAGGCACAGCACTGGGCACCCGAGATGAACGGCTGTCCAACAGTCCCTGCTCCGGAGAAATTCTCTCAGTCCAAGAAAATCTGGGGGACTCCGCTTGCAGTGGGGGAGGGCACAAGGCAACGGGTCCCCACGTCCAGAACTCAAGGCCCCAGGCTGGTTCTGAGTTCTTCGCTCCGCGGTACTGGCAGAGGTGTCCCCTTACACCCTGCCACGTTGGGCCCTGGGCAGTCCCCTCCCAGCAACCCGCGTCGGGCCCGTACCTGGTCGCAAGCCGGGCAGCGCGGCCGCAGCAGCTCTGCATGATGACGGCCGCAGTAGAGACGCCCGTCGTGGGAGAAGTAGATGAGGTGTAGCAGGGCCTGGCCGCAGGCCTGGCAGGCAAAGCACGCCGGGTGCCAGCCGCGCGTTTCTCCGGCCGGGGCTGCGCACACTCCGTACTCCCCTGGCCTCAGCGGCTCCCTGCACTGCCCGGCGGGAGGCGGGGCGGGAGGGGGGTGCTGGGCTGGACAGAGGCCGCACTCGCTCCTACCTTCCCTCCTGGCTCTTCCACCCCAACCCCAACTTAACTGTTCTCCCCATACCCCAGGCAAGCCCACTTCCACTGCAGGCCCCACCGAGAACCCCTAAACCTGGCTTCTCTTTTTCAAGTGAGCCAAACTGTCAATCCCCAACACGCCCCCGCCCCACCCAACCCGCCCCCGGTCCCTGGAGCTCGCCCCTTCTGCAGAAGTGAGAAGGCAAAGGGGAATGGGGTGGGCACTACATACCTTCTCACAGGTGTGTTCTGCCAGCTTGGGAGGTACCAGGCAGGCCACCCCCTGTCCCAGGGCCTCCCGCCTCCGCTGGGCACAGAAGAGCCGAAGCTCGGCCAGCTCATCCTCCCCAAGGGCCAGGCAGTAGCGCTCCTGCAGAAACAGGCCTCCACTGAGACTGGGAGAGCCCCAGCAGGCAAGACTGGAGCTTGACTGGAGGGAGAAGGCTTAGCTGCTGGGTCAAAGAAAGGTTGTAGAAGCTCCCAGAGGTGCAGAAGATAACAGCACAGAAGGGCATTGAGAAGGAGAGGGAAGAGAGATGGAGGGGGTCTACCCCAGTCTCACCTCCCCCCAGGAACGGCCACCACTCAGGTCCTGACAGCCCACAGCACTGAGCCCTGTCACCACAAATTTAGATCCTTACCCCCAGTGAGCTGGGGCTTACTATCACTTTCTGTTGTTTTTCCAATTTATGCCATGTTCTCCTGTCTTGCCCCCCTCCCTCCTGGAACTGAAGTGTAAGCCTTTAGTCTGGGCACACATAGGGCCTCAATAAATACTTGACCACACTCTCTACATTTGTACATTCCATTATCGGTTTCAAAAGTGGTTCATGTCCATTTTCTCATTTGCTCTTCAACTAAGCACTGTGGGCAGAGCAGATGCTATTGCTTCCATTGTATAGACTTGAAAACGCAGGCCGGGGCCGGGGGATGACTTCTCCAATCAGTGGCATAGCCAGCCAGGCCCTAGATCCATGTTCTCTGGCTTCTGGACCCAGAGTAAATAGAGAGAGGGAGGTGAGAGCTCGGGACACTGGAGAGAGGGAGGGACCCACATCACTGTCCTGCGGAGGCAGCTGCTGCAGGAGGATCCGAAGCCCAGGCCAGTTGGAGGCCCCGCTGGTGTCCAGGCCAGGGAGCCCCAAGCTCAGAACTTTAGGATCCTGAGGAGATGTAGCAGGAGAGGGGTGGTTAGGTTTGCCTTCCTCTTCTTTCCTCCCTCCTCACTGCCACCTCTTCTCCAATCTGGAATGACTTCCAAGCACGCCCTCCTTCAAGATCAAGACAAGGACGGCTAATCCACTCTGGCATCTGTGGTCTGATTGAGGCAGGTTGGGGAGGCCCCACACCCCAAATGGCATCCTTTCTTATGCTTTAAATCACCCCCCTTTACTTCAGCAGGCCAAAGCCTACAGTCTGCTTTGACAACACAGACCACCCCCCCACCCCCCCACCCGCCCAGAGGTAATGTGTATTCATGTGAATAAGTTTAAAGTCAACACCCCTCCCCCAGTCCCAATCCCTAGGGGGCTGTAGAGACAGAGATTCCTGCAAAGAGAAAAGGGCCATGGGACGCTGGGCACAGAGGCTAACTACCTTGCAGGTGGTGGAGGTGGGAGGAGGTCTGTAGGATGGAGCGCACGTTGGGTCTCAGAGGGAAGGGAAGGGCTCCCACTACCTGAGCAGAAGTCTCCTCAGGGTGCTCCTCTGGCAAGTGGCCTGGGTCACTGTCTGAGTTGGCGGATGGACCTGGCTCCTGAGGGCTGAGGCTCTCCCCCTCGTGGGGCCAGTCAGAGTTCAGCCCTGACATTGTGACAAAGTCTGCCCAGAAAACAAGAACACCTTCCATTTATTGGCCCCTTACAATGTGCCAGGCAGTGCTAAGTGCTCTGCAGGAATTATCTCCTTCCATCCTCCCAACAACCAGAAGACGAGGGTGGTATTCCTGTCCCCCTTGTATAGATGGCTACACTGAGGCTCAGGGAGCATAAATGCCTGAGGTCACACAGCTAGTAAGTGGCTGAGCCAGATCTTGAGGCCAGGCCTTTTGGCTCCGGAGTTTCTGAAGCTCAAATTCTGGGGTTGCCCAAGATTGGGAAGGAGGCAAGAGGAGGCCCACAATGGAAGAAGGCATTCCGCTTTTCTAGTGAGCCTTTGGGCAGACTGGCCCCTTCCCCGTCTCCCCAGCCTTAACTCCACCATTCCTCATTGTGCACTGACTACCCCAGCGAGCCTGAGTCCTCCACAGCCCCAACACAGGCCCCACTTTTCCAGCTGTAGGCCCAGGCCAGGTAAAAGGACCACATCCCCAGGAAGCCCTTCTCAGCCCCTCCAGCCTACCCCAGCTCTCCCTTCCCCAAGCTCCAGAAATACAGTCTGCACCCCGAGGTTTAGTCCTAATGTTTCTCTTTGTGCCCTCTGCCCGTCTCAGTTCCTTGTCTAGTCTCTAAGCTCGAGGACAGAGGAAAATCTTGTGCTTCTGGCTTCTACCTATAGCAGCAATTTCCAGTTTCACCGGATAATTCTCAACACATCTCTCCAGCCCTCCTCGGGGCTGGCCCTAGCAGGACCAGAGTATCTTGGGGGTGGGGGTGACTACTGAAGTAGAAAAGGGATGGGCCTGCCCTCAAGGGGCTCATAGTCCAGTGGCTAAGAGATGAGACCCCGCAGAATGAGGCTGGGGCTCTGGGCAGGTATATACAGTACCTTAGGAAGTAAAAGAATCAGAGCAAACTTTTCTATAATGTTTACTCTGTGCAAAGGACTATACTAGCATTTTACATAATATAATGCATCATCAAAACAATCCTATCAGGTAGTTTCTGTTATCCCATTTGATGGTTGAAACAAATTGAGGTAAACTTGCTTAAGGTCACACTAGAAAGCTGAAGGATGTCCTAGGTCGGGGTTGCCTTTGAGATCCGGGATGGATTCTGACAGCAGCTGGGCACAGGAGGGCCTCACCAAATCCCAGGCCTCTAGAAGACCCAGCTGTGGAGTTGGGAACAAGGTTTGCACTGTAACAGTTACATTGCTTCCCAGCCCTGAGCACCCACCCCCACCCACCTTTCAGACGTCCTGAGCCACCCATCCCTGCTTCCACACCCATCTGCTTCCTTCCTGTTCTGTCCCTCCGGTCAGTTTCCTGTGGAAAGCAGCCAGGATGGGCTGTTTACGTTCAGGGCCAAGAGGAACCACTTCCCCTAATAGCACCGCCCCTGCTCCAGGCAGCAAGAGGCTTTTGGGAGAGGGTCCGGCACAGGATAGGGGCCATCTGGGACCTCAGAGTGGATTTGCACCCTCTCTTCCAGGTTATAGTTTGTATGAAATTGCCGCCCACAGAAACAATGCTCAGAAATCAGCTCTCACCCGTCACCCTTCCTTCCCCCTCGCCCCACCTCCACTCAGCACTGGACCAGGTCTTACTAACATGCTAGATTCCTTCAAGAATTCCCCTCCCCTCAGGGATGAACCCCTTCTCACCCCACCCCCACCCCGGCGCAGGTGCAACCGGGCTCAAGAGTTCCACCTTCCCAATTCACCCCTGCCCTCGAGGGCAGAGCCTGCGCGGCCCTAGGGACTGGGGAGGTAAAAGGATGGGAAGGTTTTCCGCGGACAGTGAGAGGGAGAAGAGAAGTGTCCAGTCCCACCAAGTACCCTCTCGACAGATCCCCAAAGTTTTTTCTTGGACTTCCCCGGGAGTCAGCTGGGGTTCCCAGTCTGGCTGCTGGGAGTTTACGGGAGGGAATGGGATTCCGCTGGGGTCTCACCCTCGCTGCGCGCCGGCGTCCGGGCCGTTCTGGACAGACCCCGCCGTCGGTCCCCCCACCCAGTCCCCACCCCGAGGCCTCCCCGACTGCCTCTGCCCGCCCCGGGAGCGCGGCCCTTCCTCTCCCACGCCCCTGCCCGCCCCTCCCTGACTGGCAGAGCTGGCGGCTCGGGAGCGGTTTTGGAGTTGCAGGCTGAAGGAAAGAATTTAGGGGATCTCAGGGTGGAAAGTGTGCAGGCTCCACTGACCCCCTCCCCACTCCCAGGGGTGTAGCGCCGGCACCGCGCCCCAGCGGGGACAGGGCAGACACCTGGGAGCCTAACAGAAAGCTTTTCGGAGCCAGCGGGTCCCTCCCAGACCCTCCCGCGGGTCTTCTAGCCCCGCCCCTCTCTGGGTGTCCTCACCCTCACCCAGTTGCCTCCGCCGGTCCCCAGCCCTTTTTTAGGGAGCCCTCGTCTTGCCCTTCTCCCTTCTGTCCCTTCAGGTCCTTCCCCCATCTTTTTTGTCTCTCCCCCACCCCGGTCCATTTTCTGATCCCGGGAGGGGAAACCTCTGGTCCCATCTCCGGTTCCCTCCTCAGCCCCGCCCTGAGCCTCCGCGCCCCGCCCCGCCCCGCCCCGCCCCGCCCCCTCGGGGCTAGCTCCGCGGCTGGTCCGGAGCGCCCTCTGGCGTCTGCGCATGCTCCCTGCTCCTGACTGCAAAGTCCTCCAAAGGGACCTTCTAGGCTGCGCGCCGGTCGCCCCCGATCGGGTCCGCCCGCCTGCAGCGTCTCGTTGGTGCTGCCGGTGACCTCCGACCCCGCGGCCGCGGGGCGGGGCGGGGAGGCCTTAGCTCCGGGCGGGCGGCGGCTGCTGCAGCGGGACCCGGGAGCGGGGCCCGGCGCCGCCCGGGACGCGGGGCGATGTGAGTCGGGGCGCGGCGGGGCGGGGACGAGGCGGTTCCACCGAGGCCGCACCGCGCCGCGCCACAGTCTCCGCTCCCTCCCGAGGAAGCCCTGGGCGGGCGGGCGGGCGGTGGAGTCCCGGGGCTGGGGGCGGGGATCCAGGGACGGCGCGCGGCCCCAACCTCCCCCATTGCTTCCCGGTATCTATAGAAATTCCCCTGACAACCCCGCAACCTAAATCTGTCGCTCACTCCCCAGGACCACCCCACCCCCACCCCCGGACACACCTTCGCTTGTCCTGGAGCCCTTGGAACCCCCTCAGTCCTGCGAATTCTCCTGGTAACGCCCGCAAAGCCACCATTCTCCGGGATGCCCCCAAATGCTTCCAGAGCTCTGCGGTTCCTCTGATCTTGCATACGCCGCATTCTCCCTGCACCATGCTCAAATGCAAAAAACTTGCCCACGATTTCCCGAGCTCTCATATATTTTGAGTCCCCATAACCTACCCTGACACTCCCAACTACAGTCCACACCTATCCCAGACCAGAGCCCCTTCTTCCTGTCCCAGCCAGTGTAACCCCCCCCACTGAAGCGTCATGATATATTCTGTTATCTTAAAGACATGTCTTAAAGGCACCCTCCCCCATCTTGCAACCCTATAATTCTTGGTTTCACCCCGACTCCCTATTGGTGGCTCAAGCCTCAGTATTTTCCGAGCTGCCTATCTTTAGGCTGTGCACACCTCCCTCAGCCTGCTTCCTTCTAGAGAATAAGCCAGGCCAGGAGGGTGGGGGGTCCTTTAACCTGGGAAGTTGTAGGTGGAAGCAGAGCACAAGAGGCCCTGGGAAAAGATACTGCTTTGGAAAGCAGAAGGGTGGCATTTCAAGGATCTCCAAGGTTCTGGCTTGTCAACTTGTCCACCTGGGGCTCAGATCTCTGAAATTTTGATTTATTATTAGTATTTACATTAGAATTTTAGGCCTTTTGGAGCTTGGGGGACAGAAAATTTATCAAGCTTCCAAATGTGAGATTGAGGGAGCTTAGCTTGTCCTGGAAGAGGCAAATGTCCATTTTCGTGATCTTTTTCCTATGTGCTTACCTCTAGAAGTTATTTAAGGGAGAATCCTCACCGTTTACAGATGTTTCCCTTGAAAACTAAGGCCTTGAGGTGGGAGGTGGGGGATTGCCTTGCCAGAGTCTCCCAGATAGTGGCCACAAAACAGACTAGAATACTGATTTCCTGAATCTTAAGCCAGCATTCTTTCCAATACATCACAGTGTCCTTTGGAGAAAGTTCCCTGTAGAGTTAAAGTTCTCTGCAAAGGTAAGGTGGTGGTTTTGGTGTTGGTTGTAAGGGGATTCAGGTGGGTTCTAGAGGCAACTGAAAAGGCTGCCTCAGACTTCAAAATCATTGCTACTAGGGGAGTCACTCTCAGGGCCTGTGGGGCTTGGAATTTGTGGCCCCTTTGCCCTTGATCTCACTTTCTTCGTTGTGTTTCTGTCCCATTAGGACCTGGAACAGATATCCAGGTGGGATGGACTGACAGCAAGTGGGTTTCATTAACAACTGGGGGTGAGGATGGAAGGTTTCCACTAACCTGTGGTCTCTGTCTCCTGTGCTAGGTGAGCCCCAGGTGTGTCCCAGAGGGATCCAGGTGACTTCTCTGCAGACTGCTTGCCATGATGCTCCACCAAGAACAGGGGGAATAAAGTGGGGGTCCTTCCCCATGCCCCTCCCATGGTCAGCTCCCCGATGGCCTGGGTGAGGTGAGAGCTGTGTATAGAAGCCACTTTTCTGGCGTTTTCCAAATTGGGTGGAATGGGGGATACAGGTCAGGATTGTTTAAGACTTTACACATACAGTGGGAGTTTTGAAAGGATATCTGATCTTACAGATTCTTTTTTTCTTAAGATATATTTATTTATTTTAGAGAGAGAGAGAGAGAGGGAGCACAAGCAGGAGGGGCAGAGGGAGAGGGAGAAAGAGAATCCTAAGCAGTCTCCATGCTTAGCGTGGAGTCTGATGCAGGGCTCGATCTCATATGACTTTGAGATTACAGCCTGAACTGAAATCAAGAGTCAGAGGCTTAACCCACTGAGCCACCCAGATGCCCCTTACAGATTCATTTCTTGCATCAAGTTGCAGTCCCTTCTGGTT